CCCCAAAACCCCAAAACCCCAAAACCCCAATATTAGTAATTAATATTGAATTCTTGGGAATATCATTGAGAATCTTTTTAGTTTGAATTTCGACTAGAATTCTCTGTTTTTTGTTTTGCAAAAATTAGTCTTCTTCCAAGTCAACTTTCTTGACTTGAGATGATTCAGTGTTGATAGGGAGAGCAGGGATTGTTGAACTGATATATTGCTGACTGGGACCAAAAGGGACTGGAATAGGTGCTTGGATATGAGGATCTCCTGGTGAAGAGTTATAAGGGACTTCCGGAGCAATTTTACTTCTAGCCAAAGGTTCTTGAGAATGGTCTCCAGCAAGAGCTCCTCCACCAGCAGGAGCTTCTCTCTCAGATTCTTCTTCAGAAGCTCCAGCTTCTTCTTTGACCTCTTCAGGAACATAAATTTTTGTTGGAACACTAGTACTCTCTCTGGCGCAAGTATTTCAATATTGGTATATACGAATGGATGGCCATCACAGCAAGCGCATCCATCAACTTCACCAGTGACGTTTAGCTGATAAGTTCATGAAATGAGCTGGCCTTTACATGTCGGCTGTATTTTGCCAGAAAATTTTCCTAATGACCCGATGAGTGAAGCAGGTGTACCAATATCTTTAGCGGTACTTATATCGAACTGAAATTTTTTTCTTCAGTCTTCTCTCCTGGGCCACACCCAGGGAGAGAAAGTTGGATCATAGCATCTACTCTGGAGGTTGATAAACCAGATTTAGTCTTGAGTACTAATCTTCTTATAAGGGTTGAGAAAACATTTTTAACACTAATCTTGGAATCTGCGTTATCAACCCAGAATTTCATATGGACTGTTTCATCCAACCTAACTACATCCTTTTCAAAGGAAGAGTGAATCTTTACATTTCCTTTGCTGAGTCGGACCCAAGTTTAGACTTCACGCAATAAGTTAACAGTCATCTCGTAATTAATAGTAGAACGAGGTTGCTGCATGATCACAATTGGGCATGCAGTCCTTCTGAGCAAAGCATCAGGCTCAGCTACGAGTTCACAATAAAGAGTATATGTTCAACTTCATTTCACCTTGCTTGTGTAAGACCTGCTCTCATACCCATAAGTTCCTGAAATACTGCCAGGCACCTGAAAACTAAATGGATACGTATATGTGCCAGGCAAGAATCCTTCATCTGATTCCATGACCATGAATCTTTGATTGCACGCAGTTACATGATCTTTGTAAGTTTCGGTTCGAGTTCTCTTCCTTCTTCTGACTCTTTTCTCCAAAGGACTCTTTCATAGCCAATTATAGAGACATAGAAGCTCACTTGTGGGGCAGGGCGATCAAGTGTAAAAGTAATACTCCCTCATGCTTGGGAGTCTTCGTAATAATTTACTCAGTCAAGTACGACTGATAAGCTCGGTCCATAATCAAAGAAGACTGGAAGAGCTTTTGGTCCTGAATAGAGTATTCCAATTTTAGCTTTATTTCAAAACGATATTTGTCCTAAATATTGCCAATAAATCTTGTTTCCAAGGGGTTTTGGGGTTTTGGGGTTTTGGGGTTTTGGGG